TATAGATATAAATTTATATATGTATATATATAAATATATATATTCCACACTGTCAAATGCCTTTGCATAGTCAATGAAATACAGACTGACATTCCTCTGGTACTCTCTGCTTTCAGCCGAGATCCGTCTAACCTTGACTATATAATGCACAGCTTCTAAATTCAGCTTGTACATCTGACAGTTCTCTGCTAATGTATTGTTCTAGTCATTTCTGGATAATCTTCAGCAGAATCTTGCCTGCATGTGATATTAGTGATGTTATTTGATAATTTCCACACTCTGTTAGGTCACCTATTTGGGGGATGGGAATAAACATAAACCTCTTCCAGTCAGGTGGTCAGGTAGTTGTCCTTCATATTTCTTGTCATAACCTGGTGAGCACATCCAGACTAGCATCTGTTTGTCAAAATAGGCCAGCTGGCATTCCACCAATTTCTGGAGCCTTGTTTTTTGCCAGTTTCTTCAAAGCAGCTTCAACTTTCTCTTTCATCACCATAGGGTTTTGATCATATGTTATTTCATGTAATTATTCTCTGTCAGCCAATTCTTTTTGGTATAATACGTCTGTGTATTCCTTTCATCTTCTTTTGATGCTTCTTAGGTCATTCAGCATCCTGCTTTCAGCATCCTTAAGTCTTGCAACTCAAGGCTTGAATTTGTTCTTAAAAAAATGGGGAGTGAGTTCATCCTTTTTGATTTTCTGACTCCAGTTCTTTGCACATTACATTATAATATTTGCTTTGTCTTTCCATGCTGCCTTTTGAAATCTTCTGTTCAGCTCCTTAACTGCCTGACTTTTTCTCTTTGCTTTGGCTTCTTGGCACTATAGTGCAATATTCAGTCTCTTCTGACATCCATCTTGACCTTTGGTAATGAAGAATAGTGATGAATAGCCTATAGACTGCCAAAAGAATATGCAGGTAAGTGTTAGAGAAATTGTAATCAGAGTGCTCCTTGGAGGCAAGAATGGCAAGCTTTATTTCACAAACTTTGGACATGTTGTTAGGAGAGGCTGTTCCTTGGAAAGGTATATCATGCTTGTAAAGGTGGAGGGTCAGTGAAGGAGAGGAAGACCCTCAACGAGATGGCTTGAAACAGTGTCTTTTGCAGTGGGCTCAACCTTGTCAGAGATGATAAAGATGGCACACGATAGGACCAGGTAAGATCTGTTGTAAATAGTGTCAATTTGAGTCATACTGGACTCTAAGGCACTTAATAATAACCATGGTCCAATTATAAGAGGAGCCCCTTCAGTTCAAAGGGCTCCAAGAGATACAGTAAGAGAAAGATACATGAAAGCTTCATGTTGATAAGTAGGTCACTACCTAATGGAACCTGGAACCCTCAGGAGTCTGGAATCTCTAGGCCTCTGTGATTCACAGTTACATTAACTGGAAACTTTTTGTGTACTTAGCAAATCACAGTGACAGGAGAAAACGTGGCAACATGAGCAATGCTGGTAAGTCTCAAGAGTGGTGTCTTCAAGGCTTTCTGGCCCCAAGAAAACAAATTACTCATGTTCTCAAGTGTTACCAGACCTGAGCCATTCAGGGACATTATGTGTGGTTTTAAGGGGTTTTTTTATGTCCTTTGTTTTTTTTTTCCTCTCTCTTGTTCTTCCTATTAATTGATGCTGACAGATATTTGAAGGCAGGAAATAGCTCCAACTATGATCCCCCTTGTGAAGTGTAGGATTATCCAGTGATTTCCTCTGTTCTCAAACGACTGTTATCATTGTGTAGAATGAATGATAATTCTTCTTAGATCATAAAATTTGAAGACAAAATTGCTGAGAATGGAAAAATGAGGGACGAAATGGTAGAATGGAAAAGTGAAGGGCATGGAAAGCCTTGTTTCCATCCTACATTAAAACTGTTTTGTCAGTGACTTATAAGCAACACGTGATCCAACACCAGTGACATATTTCTGGAATCTATCCTCTCCTTTCCATAACATAAAGTCACTCTCTGATTCTCAACCTCAACTCACTGTCAGGGTCTCTGGGGTGGGGGAGGTAAGATTTCTCTTTCTAAGTTCATTCTAATCTACTACAGAAAGAATGGGACTCTCAGAACACTTAATTATGCTCATGAAAAAATCTATAAACAGACTAAGAAGCTGTTGGTCTATAAGGGAACAACACTACATGGTTTAGAATCAGGAAAGGTGTTTATCAGGGTTGATTCCCTTCTCTGTATCTATTCAATTCCGTGTATGCTGAACAAATAGTTCAAGAAGCTGGACTATATGAAGAAGATTGTGGCTTCACGACTGAAGGAAGACTAGTCCATTAACTACGCTATGTAAATGATACAATCTTGCTTACAGAAAATGAAAAGAACTTGAAACCCTTGCTGCAGAAGGCAAAAGACCTCTTCAATATAGGTTATATCTCAACATCAAGAAAACAAAAATCCTCATCACTAGACCAACACACAACATCAAAATAGGTGGAGAAAAGATTGAAGTTGACAATTTTATTTTGGATCTGTAATCAATACCCATGGCAAAAGTGGTAAAAAAAAAAATCAAAAGATGCACTGTACTGGGAAAATCTGCTATCAAGGACCTATCCAAAGTACTAAAGAGCCAGGATATAAGTTTAAAGACTAAGGTGCACCTCATTGAAGCCATTGTATCTTTTATTACTTTCTGTGCATCTAAAAGTTAGGCAATGTACAGAACAGACTGAAGAATTGTTTCCTTTGAACTGTAGTGTTGGCAAGAAATACTGAACATCTCATTAATCTCTAAAAGTACAAACCTATCTTGGAGGAGGTAAGTACTCAGGGTACTCCTTAGAGGCAAGTATGGTGAAACTTTGTCTCTCTTACTTGAGTGTGTTATCAAGAGGGACTAGTCCTTGGAAGAAGGTATGCTAGGAAAGAAATGGAGGGTCAGAGAAAGAGCAGAAAGCCATCAACAAGATGGATTGACACAGTCACTATAACTATTGACTCAGGCATATTAAAGATGGTGAGCGGGGAGCTCTGGTGGCCTAGTGGCAAGGAACTGAAGCTACAATCCCAGAGGCACACGGTTCGAACCCACCAGATGCTCTGCCGAGGAAGGAGGGACAATCTCCTCCTGTACCAGTGAGATCTGATTTTACGGTAAACAAAAAAAAAAAAAAAAAAGAAAAAGAAAAAGAAAAGAAAAAAATTAAAAAAAAGATGGTGAGGATGGTTCAGGATAAGGCAACATCTAGACCTAGTATCCATAGAGTCCATAGAAGTTATAATCAACTCAGTGGCACCGAACAATGAACAACATCCTTTCCTCTCCATACATAAAGTCACTCTCTTATTTGAAAATTATATTCTCTGTGAGAGTTCCTGGTGGTAAGGCTTTAATGTCAGTGCATTTGTTTAATCCCTTTTATATCTTAAAAGAGATTGAGTCAAAATATAACCTAATTCACATTTTGCCTTGTTAACATAGCTACTTCTAATACTACCTCACTAACTTTATTGCCG